CTGTTCTGAGAAGATTATTTTCTCAGACGCCGAGGGTTTGCAGATAGCTCTGGCGGATATGATGGCTTCAACAGCCTTTGAATTGTCCCTTTTGACGTTGGCTCGGGTGGGAAATGCCTCCACAACTCTGAAACATGAGAATGAGGACCAGCTTAGAATCCTGCAGTCATTAGAGTTCGTAGACGAGTGCGGAGCAGATGATTTTGTCAAAGTCTACGCAGCCGTTGCTGCCATGAATTACAGGATGAAAACCTTGGAACGCTTGTCTGTTTTGGACGGCGCGCTGATGACCTATATACTACAAGCTCATAAGGCTTGGCTGATGGGAAAGCTGCAGTTTGTTCGCATACCGCTTGAGATGGATGCAAATTTGGTACAGGAACTTCATGCGTCATTGTCAAAAGTTCGCCTAGTATCTGCGGGGCAGACACCCTCTGGAATAACAAATGAAGAAATGCAAGCCGTAAAAGATTTGTTTCAGCAGCAATATCAGGATGTCCAGGGCATGGATGATGCGAAAGATGTCGAGGCTGTTAAAGCTGCGTCCGAACACGCGAATCAAGTTAACCAAAGGCTCAAATACATGTTGCAGACGCACATGAAGAAGTTTCATTCAGCTTTGAAGCGCCAGACGCTTAGCAAGGAAGAGGCCAACGCTGCCGCTGAGGCCATCGCGCAAATTGCTGAGAGTGTGGTCGGCGACACCGAAGAATTCTGGCGCTCTGCGCATGAACTTTATGTACAGATTGGCGGCAAGCCTGAAGATGTGCTTAATTTTGCTAGCGGCAAAGCGCTACTGCAAAAGCTATCAACTAAGATAAAGTCCAGTACTGGTGAGCAGGTAGAGGGTGCTGTGACCGCTGAGAATGTTGCCGCAGATGCTGTGAAGAAACGGTTTCTCGAGCAATGGCGTGCAGTTGAAGCTTCGGCGAGGGATCATTGGTTGAGAGCGCAAGAGACGGTAGAAGATGCGAGGAAGGTGAAAAAGTACAAACTAGACAACGAAAGGTTTGGATCGTCTGGACTGGATAAGAGAACGAAACTTAGGACTACGGCGGTTGAGAGGAAAGCAAAGATAGGACTTCTGTTGCTAAGATTTCAATGCTTGCATGAATTATCAAAGGAAATTGAGAAGTATGAAAGAACACTTAGCGATGCACTCATGTATCCATTCGACCCTTCATCAGGGGCATGGAATGAAATA